TAACATCTGTTGTCTCCTTAGTTGTTTTATGTTGTTATATATTATTTCTGATGGTGGCAGCTGCTTCTACTTCTAATTCATGACCTTTAAAATCAAATCTAATAATGTAGCTTCATCTTCCCCTCCTGGATCTCCACTGGACCAAGCACTTTCAACATTTGCTCAGGGTTCAGTCATGCTCCTTACACTTGTTTTGTTGATTAGAATTCATTTTCCTCCCACAAGTAGGGAACCTCAGGACTTTCTCCATTCTCAGTATCCCAGTCTCTTAGGAGCAAGGTCTGTCTACCTGAGTGCTTAGGATAAACTTCCGGAGTGAGTGGTTCATTAACTGAGGGTTGGGACTGTTTGTATAAGGGGTAGGAAGAACTGACTCAGACTCTTTATGGCAATGCCAAGAATTTGGCGAGGATTCAGAGAGCAGAAGTGATAAAATCATAAGGTTTAGAGGTGGAAATGGCCTTACCCAGCATTTACAGATGAGGAAACTGAAGTCAAAGAAGTGGAATAACTTGCTAGTTGGTGTTAAAGCCAAGTTTCTTAACTCCCAGACCAGTAAGAACCTAAGACTTTTAGAGTCACATCTTTCAGGAGAGGAGAAAGATGCTGGGATTTTCCAGCCTAGAGACAATCAGAGAAACAAAGTGACCCCTGTGCTGTCCCATATTCCCCCTGCCATTCCATCCATGCCTACACACACACCCATACTTCATCTTCTGAACGGAAAGGGCAGGAGCATGAAGGAGAACTTTGTGACTAAGGCTGATTCTAAAACACAAATGGAAGGCCAGGTGCGGTGGTTCACACCTGTAATCCCAGCACTCTGGGAGGCCGAGGCAGGTGGATTGCCCAAGCTGACACGTTTGAGACCAGCCTGAGCAAGAGTGAGACCCCATCTCTAAAAGTAGCCAGGCGTGTGGTGGGCATCTCTAGTCCAGCTACTTGGTAGGCTGAGGCGAGAGAATCACTTAAACCCAAGAGTTTGAGGTTGCTGTGAGCTGTGACGCCATGGCACTCTACCCAGGGTGACAAAGTGAGACTCTGTCTCAAAAAAATAAGTAAATAAAACACAAATAGAATTGAGAAAAATCCAGAAGAATGCTGACCGGCCCCCAGGTGTGATCTCTGAAAGTGGAGGATATCCCGAAGGAAGGATATGAGAGCTGGACAAAATCTTTATGCTGCAGAGCGCCTATAGCTCAGGGGCTAGGGCGCCAACCACATACACCGAAGGTGGCAGGTTTGAGTCCAGGCTGGGCCTGCCAAACAACAATGACAACTACAACCAAAAAATAGTCCAGTGTTGTGGGTGCCTGTAGTCCCAGTTACTTGGGAGGCTGAGGCAAGAGAATCCCTTAAGCCTGGGAGTTGGAGGTTGCTATGAACTGTGACACCACAGCCAAGGGTGACATAGTGAGACTGTGTCTCAAAAAAAAAAAATTGTTTATAGCCCTTAATAAAAAGATGTATCAAATAAATGCATTCAAAAACCATAAAACTAAAACAACATGAGTGGAACAGATGCTACTGTTTTATTGAAACGTAAACACTATGGAACAAGTTGCGTGCATGTATTGTCTTGTGCTTTGTGGTGATTATTTTGTCTAAAACTTTTTTCTTTACAGCCCTCAGGATTATTGAAATGAGGGAAAGGGATCTGAATTTTCAAAAGAATATTTCTGGACTGTCTGCAAATACTAAAAAAAAAAAAAACCCACACAAATGGAGATGGGCTTTTCTGAGATTCAGGGGATAGCAGAGGTATTTACATTTCTGGACTATGATATAAATAGCATCCCTCATTTTAAACTGTGTACAATCAGACACAGTAGCCTTGATTATTACACTGATCTGATTTTTCAGGCCATATGATATCTAATAGGAAAATAATTAAGAAATTTGTTTGTATAGATGAGTGTTGTGGTGGGTGCCTGTAGTCCCAGCTACTTGGGCAGCTGAGGCAAGAGAATGGCTTAAGCCCAACAGTTTAAGGTTGCTGTGATCTGTGACACCACTGTACTTTACCAAGGATGACATGGTAAGACTCTGTCTCAGAAAAAAAAAAAAGAATTTCATTTGTAGAAATTAAGTATGTGTAAGACAGTTTACTAGATTTTATTACTCAAATATTTTTGAAATATAATTTCCATGGTGAAAGTGTTGTTTTTTCAAAAAAGATTTGAAAGCCCTGTTAAATCTTATAATCCCTGAACTCTCTCAAAGCTCTTTAAAACCTTGATTATTACATTTTCAAAACTCTTGAACGTATCAACCTTATCCATGTTTAAAAAATATTATGTGCATTTAACATCTTAGGCTTTCTAAATTTTTTCTGTGTATGAACAAACAAGGAGGAAGTGAGATAGCCTTCCTGGTAAGTGCTGAGTATTTCAGAATTTTGTTAACTGACAAAATCTGTCTCCTTTTTGCTATTGTGAATGTTTTCTCACGGTCACCAGTGACCTCCAACCACCAAGTCCAATACATTTTATAAATTCTTCCTGTATTCTGACCTCTCCACAGGGCTGCCCCTTCCTTAATCACTCCTCTGACATTCTCTTGATGCTCATTTGCTGTTAACACTGCACAGTCCCAGTTTTCCCACTTCTCTGACCGTGTCTCTGACTCCTTTGAAACTATCCTGTGTCTTCATGTCTCTGGCATGAAGCCCCTTGAGAAGGAGTTTATTTTATTTTTATTTATTGATTTATTGATTTTTTGAGACAGAGCCTTACTTTGTCACCCTTGGTAGAGTGCTGTGGTGTCACAGCTCACAGCAACCTCCAACTCTTGGGATTAAGTGATTCTCTTGCCTCAGACTCCCAAGTAGCTCGGACTATAGGCGCCTGACACATGCCCAGCTAATTTTTTTCTTTTGGTTGCAGTTGTCATTGTCGTTTAGCAGGCCCAGGCCAGGACTGAACCCACCAGCCCCAGTGTATATAGCTGGCACCCTAACCACTGAGCTATGGGTGCCAAGCCTTGAGAGGGATTTTAATCTGAAGGTCAGGTCAGAACTTTGGAGGAGCTTAGGAGTGAGCTCCAGAGGCAAGAAAATGGATAAAATAATTAGTCCAATTTTCTTTATTTGACCAAGTACACTCCTTGATTTTCTGCTGCTAAAATTATTAGTGATCTTTTCCTAAAGATTTCTACAGGAAAAAAGCTTTTAAATCATGAGATAAATTTTTTTTTTATTTTTTATTTTTATTTATTTATTTATTTATTTTTGAGACAGAGCCTCAAGCTATCCCCCTGAGTAGAGTGCCGTGGCATTACAGCTCACAGCAACCTCCAACTCCTGGGCTCAAGCGAGTCTCCTGCCTCCACCTCCCAAGTAGC